GAGAGAGAGAGAGAGAGAGAGAGAGAGAGAGAGAGAGAGAGAGAGAGAGAGAGAGAGAGATTTGCTTCTATTGTTAAACCCGAAAAAAGAAAAAGACGAAGTGTCAAGAGAAACCACCAATTGCGAAGAATTTTGCGTATTTTCTGACATCGGACAGAGAGTACTGCTTACGCACCAAGGGAGAGAGATGTGCCGACAAGGTAATAGATGTAAAACTATTTGGGACAGAACAGAACAGGCCAGCTGCTTACCAACTGCACTCAGGCCACCACACCACACCCCTCATCATCTTTGCTTTTCATTGCGAAATTTCCGTGCTTTTAGCGGGCGGAGCCGCAACAGGTAAGCTACCGGTAGTACAGTATAATCCGTTATGGGACTCTGCAGACTGTAGAGGGTTCAACCTCCTCATGAGTGAGTTTGTGGAACTCTTGACAAACAGGAGATTGAACCCTCTACAGTCTGCAGAGCCGCATAACGTTTCTTATCCCTTTCTTCCTTTCTGCCTACGGTTCATCGGGCATCTTTCTGTCTCTTTGTTTATCTATATATGACGATTCTTGTGACAATATATATAACAGTTTGTCAAAGCCTCTCGTTTGTTGTCCTCTTCTCCCTCTCTGCCGACGGTTTTACCGGGCAGTTCTGTTTGACGATATATACATATCAGGATAAGGACGGCGGAAGCAGAGGGGAAGGAGGACAGGAAGAGGGCAATGCCAGCAGCAAGAAGGCATGTGACACGTAGGGTAACTCCGCCCCGAGGAAGGGAGAGTAGGCGTGGAGGAGGTGAAGGTGGAGATGGACGAGATGAAGGAGAGGAAGGAAGCAGGCTAGGTGGAGGTGGGCACGGAGGACGAAGGGTCAAGGAGGACAAGGGCAAAGTATCAACAGAAATGCATTTGTCCTAGTCCTGTGCTTCCGCCGTCCTTACCCTGACCTTATTCTGTCTTAACCCTCTCCGTATCCTATCTCATCTTCCTCCTCCTCCTCCTCCTCCTCTTGCTTCTCCTTGTCCTAATCCTCCTCCTGTTATTCTGTTCGGGTCCGCCTGTCCACCTCCTTCTTCTTCTCCCCCCTCTTCCTCCCCTCCCCCCCCCCGTCCTCCTCCCCATCTTCCTCTCTGGCCACATATCATTGCCTTTAGTCGACGACTTCCTAGTACATTGTATGTGACTCGATTTCTTTGCTGTTGACGCCTGCAGCTCTAATCTATTGTTAAGTCTCAGTTTCTGAATTTGTCCTGTCTTGATTTCTGAATGGCTCAGGATAAGCACTGGATAAGGACAGAGATAAGGTGAGGATAAGTGTCTGTGAGAGGCCGTCATGGATTCTTTGCGATCCACAGCCGATTTCCGGAGACAGCGCGACCTATTCGTTCAGAGCATTCAGAGAGACATCAATTGCCTAACGGACCAGGACCGGAGGACAAGATTTCGTGCACTCGAGAAGTTGTCTCGCCGTCTGACGTTCGATAGAGGTTCGGCAGCCAGCGAACCACTTCCGGAGCTGGTGACCGTGGTTTGGGTTGAAGTTGTTCTTCCTGCCGTTGTGCGGGTGATTGGCGACGAAGTGGAAAAGTGTCGGGAGTTGGCGATCCGAGTGATAGTCGATGTGAGCAAATGTTTGTCTCAGGTGGATGCAACCCTTGCGGCAATTGCACCAAAGATTCAGACAAGGATAGGCTGTGTGCCAACCATTGAGCCCTCAGAGGAGCTGAGGCTACAGATGGTCACTCTCCTTGGGGATGAGCTTTTGCGCAAATGCTCTCCAGGTCCCATAGCAGAAGTGGCTGAATCCATTATTAAGGTGCTTTGCCAATCATTAGCGGACCCATTCCATGAGATAAGGAAAGCCACATGCCGTGCTGTCGCTGTTTTGGCCCAAAGAGCGCCGACAGTGGCCAAAAATGGAGCTGGCACTCTTCTAAAGGCACTGCTCCCGAGCACTAGGCATCAGCACTCGCGGGTCAGATTGGCCAGCCTTCAGGCTATTGATGCTGTTGTACGGTGTGGCCTGCCGGCAGGAATGGTTGACGAGACCTTAGCTCCAGGAGTCAGACACTTGGCACTTGACAAAGCAGCTAATGTACGCGAGTGCCTGTTTGTGTCTGTCGCAAGATGGCTCGGCTTTGATGCCGAACAGTCGCAGACGGATGAGTGTTCTGCACAACTTGCAGGGCCGGTTTTGGAGGCTGGCAGGCCAACAACCAACACAGAGAACCCGGAGGAGGAGGAGGAGCAAACAATGGATGCAGAGTACGATTATGAGGATGACACTTGGGGAACAAGAGCGAAGTCTACCTCGCCAGCAGTGGATATGACAGCCACTGATTCGCTTCAAGCGGATGTGGCGCCAACGGCATACATTCCCCATCTCTCACCGTTGCTTTTGCTTGGCATAACGGACGAGGACCCGGAGATCAGAGTAACAACGCTGGCGCTGCTACAGGGTGTCGGGGACGTCTATATGAGCAGCAGAGAATCACCAAAAGGTGATCAGAAAACAGAAGATGATTCCATAGCATGTGCAAATGCCATGGAAACGAGTACCATGTCTGGAGCAGAAGAAGTGGGTACCATGTCTGGAGCAGAAGTGGGTACTATGTGTGGCGCAGAAGTGGGTACTAGGTGTGGCACAGAAGTGGGTACTAGGTGTGGCGCAGAAGTGGGTACTAGGCGTGGAACAGAAGTGGAGAATAGCACCAAGGGAAGCAGAGAGGCTAATGGTTGTCATGACATGGAGGAGGTTGTACAAAAAGACGAAGATGCTGTGGAATGTCATGCCACCCTGCCAGAGCCGTTTACAGGAAGACAACTATCGAAGGGTTGCAGAAAAGTGGTGCAGGACTTCTTGCAGCCGCTTCTGGAACCAGCGCTCAAAGACATGAAGGAGTGGTTGCTCCCTTCAAGGATAGCAGGTGCACGGTTGCTCAGCACTGTGTTGGCCTTGGCTGAGTCGCATGCCACAGAACACTTGGACATATTGTTGCCTGCCTTATGCAGTGCTACAGGAGATGATGACGTGGTCGTGGCGCAGAGAGTGGTCTCTTGCCTGCACATCCTTGGGCAGGTGTGTGATGTCAGTTCTTGGCTGCCGCTATTGATCGACTTGATTCTGGCATCGCGTAACAGCCCTCCACAGCGTGTCAATGCTCTTGTGGCGTTGGGATGTCTTCTGAAAGTGACGACTCCTTCTAGAATGCCTCCTTCAGCAATCCGCGATCTCTGTGCTGTTCTGGCCAGTGAGGAGGTTCGCTGTTCTGATTACCCACCTGTGAGGGTGCAGATGGTGGTGGTGATACACAATCTCATCCGTGTTGGTCAGAAGCGCTGTGAGGATGTCGCCCTGCAACTTCTGACATGCTTGCTTCAGGTTCAGGCTGTGGATGACGACGTCGCTGTTCAGAAGGGCGTCAACACAGCAATTTCAAAGCTAGCAGCTGAGCTCGATCTAGGATCGGCGAGTGAGCTTTATGCTCAACACATCAGTTCGTTGATCCAAATGGCCGTCGAGGGGAACTTGGAGTGGACCGGGTCTTCGTATGGGAAAGCACTGTTTGTGAACATCCTTAAGGGTGCAGGAGCAGCAGTGGGAAGTCATCTTGAGGCTTTAATGGGTGTGTTTTCCAGCTGCTTACGGCCACAAAGAGACCCGTCGTTGCGAATCAGTCTTCTCCAGGTTCTTGATGAGCTCCTAGAGAGTCCGGATCTGAGATCCGCATGGGAACCTCTGGCGTTCAGAGTTATCACGGAGTTGTTGCTCCCCTGTGGCATTTGGCAGGTTGGAAAGGTCGCCGCGGCGATCCGCCATGCTACTATGGTGGCACTTGGAACAGTATTGCGCCGTGGACTATGTCAAGTCGACGACTTGGTTGGTGCTTTCCGTTGTGGTCAGCTACTGCCTGTTGTCAAATCGTGTCTGGACGAAGACTACTATGCGGATACACGCCGTGCAGCATGCCATGTGATGAAGAACATTCTTCGCATCGCAGGCGATGTGCTGAACGACGAGGAAAGGAGGGAGATTTATCCGCAGCTCCTGAAGCGTATGGATGACAACAATGATAAGATCCGATTGGATAATACGCAATCAGTCCGCGTCTTCTTTGAAAAGATGCCGTCTTCATACGATGACACAAATGCAAGATATTTCTTGGAGGCATTGATTATACACATGGATGATGCAGAGAAGGAGATACAGGAGGCTGTGTGCAGTGCAGTTGAGATTGCCGCAAGAAAGAAACCGGCTATGGTAACTGAACTTGTGAGATTGGCACGGTCAAATCATCGGTCCCCGTTCTACTGCGATCGCATTCTTGCAATCACAGGGGCACTAGAGCAGCAGGGTTGCAGTTGATTCTCAGCTGAATAAATTCTGAACACCGGATGGACCGTCTTTTTTCATTTTGCTCCTGTGTCGCTGCCCTGGATGCCCATGTTCCCATGAGAAGGATCCGGTCAACATGGGTGACCACATTGTCCCCGACGGATGTGTATTCTGACTTTTGTGGCCCTCGCTCGCACCCATTTCCATTGCAAATACCACCCATTGCCACAGACTCAGCCTGTACTCCCTCTGACAACGGTGCTGTGAAAGTGTTCTGTCCCGAATCCGAATGATATTTTGTTATGTAACCGTCATCTGTTTTTTTAACCAGCGGTAGTCCAGCGCAGCCCATTTTTGCGCGGTTGGTAACCACTGGGCCCTTCCCAGCCTCTGGAAGTAAGCTGGGCACAGCTTCGGCCGGGGTGTAAATTTGAAAACGCACCCTGGCAACCCTAATACAGGCTGAAACTGTGGCAGGGACCGGTTCTACCGATTTCACGAAATGGTCATGGCACCATTTGTATTTCACAAGTCTGCTTCTTGGGAGCAGCCCATTTCCGACATCTCGACTATAACATGTGGTGCCGATCTGGCCTGACATTCCACCAGCCCTCCTGCCAGATAGCCACCAACCCAGCAATCACGACAAGACAGCAGGCGCCCGCCAACCAGTGAGTGCTCTCGGTGTGTGTGTGTGTGTGTGTGTGTGTGTGTGTGTGTGTGTGTGTGTGTGTGAGATAGATAGGTAGATAGATAGATAGATGGGTATATATATATGGGTTCAGCCTTCTGATGAGTCGGTGAAACTCCGACGAAACAGTTTGTCACAGCCCCTCGTTTGTTGTCCTCTTCTCCCTCTCTGCCTACGGTTTACCGGGCAGTTCTATTTGACGATATATATATATATATAGAGAGAGAGAG